ACAATGGATATCTATCGGGTTTACCAACCACTTTATCGCACATACGATGATACCACCGATCCTGAATTCCCTTTTCACCTTTACCATCCTCTAACCTCACTTGAGCCTCAGCAATATTCTCAACGGTTCGCGAAAGTGCATCCGGGACCAAATGTTCTCTACCCTTGCGATGAATCACATCGAAATCAAATTGTTGAAGCTTTACACTCCACCTCGCCAACCGTCCAGAAGGATCTTTAAGATTATTAAGCCATTTCAGCGAGTAGTGATCTGTAATAACTCGAAAGTGAGTTCCCTCAATATATGGACGAAATTTCTGCACCGCGAAGACTACCGCTAGGCATTCTTTCTCTGTAGTGGAATAAGAACGTTCTGCTTTTGTTAACGATCTACTAATATATGCAATTACGCGATCACCATCTGGATATGTCTGAGTTAACACAGCACCCAAACCGTAATCGCTAGCATCCGTCTGTACATCAAATGACTTCTGAAAATCTGGACAAGTAAGTATGGGAGCAGAGATCAAGCAAGTTTTGCTATTTTCCAGAGCAATGGTACATTCGTCGGTCCAAATGAACTTTTGTGCTTTACGAAGCAGAGCTGTCATAGGAGCAATAAGCGTTGAAAAGTTTGGTATAAACCTTCTGTACCACGACGCCATACCAAGTATAGTACGTACTTCTCTCACACAAGTTGGTACAGGAATTTTCATTATGGACGCAACCTTTTCTGGATCTACAGCCAAGCCTCTCCGGTTCACAATATAACCTAAATATTTTAATTCCGAACGACAAAACTGGCACTTTTCCTTGCTCACCGTTAATCCCGCACTCCTTAAACGTTCCAACACCTCACGCAACACCTCTAAATGCTTTTGGAAATCATTTGCGATAATTATAATGTCATCCAAATATACAAAGACGTAAGGTTCCAAATCAATGCCCAACACCCTATCTATAAGACGTTGCCAAGTCGCTGGAGCGTTATGCAAACCAAAGGGCATGCGACAAAATTCAAACAACCCCCTTCCAGGGACAACAAAAGCAGTGATAGGACGTGATTCTTCTTCAACTGGAACCTGCCAGTATGCACTTTTTATATCTAATGACGACAAGTAACGCGCGTCTCTCAGTTTATCCAAAGTAGAAGTTACAAAGGGTAGAGGGTACGCATCACGCTCTGTGACTTTGTTAACCTTCCGGTAATCCACACAAAATCTATATGTTTTATCTTTTTTAGGTACCATAACGATAGGTGAAGCCCAAGGGGATGTTGAATGTCTTACAATACCATTCTGCAACATCTGATCCAGTTCTGCGTTAACGAATTTCAGTAATGCAGGAGAAATAGGGTAATGTCTCTGCTTGATCGGCTCAGCTGATGTGCGAATAATATGTGCCACAAGATTTGTACAACCTAATTTCCCATCATCTCCCGAAAATAACTCATCCAATAACAAATCCAGTTCTGCACGTTGTTCCATAGTAAGGTCAGAATCAGTTGATATCGAAGAAAGGTCACAGGAATCTCCAAACGACCACTCATTCTGTCTTAAATTCGGTACAATTCCCATTCTAATCCAGAAATCAGTACCTAAGATTAATCGTTGAGAAACGGAAGGTATCACGAGAACCCGCAACACGATGATCCTGTCCCTCAATCGAAAAGGTATCGAAATTTCACCCTCAACAAGACAATCTCCACCATTTGCTACCGTGCACTTAAGTGTTCGCGAAGGTAGACACTCCAATCCCAAATGACGAATCTCCAACAAGCCAGGTCCACCGAGAATTGTTCTACTAGCACCGCTATCAAGAAGTCCCAAAATCCTAATACCAAAAACATCCACAGCAAGGTAAGGTCTTTCGTCTGTTCCTGCATGCTCAATAATAAATTCTAACACCGCTCTTATCTTTCCAGTCGAGTTCGTTTCTTCGACGCCGTCCACCGCTCGACCCTTCAATGGTGACGTTGCGAGTTTAACGAACCCCCGTTAACCTGCTGAGAACCATTCTTCTTACATTTCGGGCAATTATTCCTAGTAAACCCAGGTTGTTGACAACCGTAACATCTTAATCGTCTTGGTGCGGGACAATTCCGAACACGGTGATTTGTGGCTCCACAGTTAAAACACTGGCCATTAAACGAAGATACCGTTGCCACTCCAGGAGAACTCACATTGTTCACCTCATCAATCCGACTTACTTCGACGTAGGCTAAATCCGTTTCTAAGGTTTTTGTCCTTCGTCGAGGAGGTATAAAATCCTCCACAGACCGACGGCTCTCCTCAAGTTGCCTACCCAATACACGCAATTCCTCAACGGTTCTAATGGAACGCAAGGCCAAGTGATTCTGGAAGTAAGGGAGTACGTTCCGACGGATAATCTTGACCTTAGCATCCTCAGAAATGGTACATGACAAGCGCGCGAACAATGCCGTCATGGTAGCGACATAAATTCCAATGGGTTCCGACTCGCCCTGAGTACGTAACTTAATCTCATCGAGCAATTTCTCATCATAATTTGCAGGTTGGAATTCCTCACGAAGCAATCTCTCCAATTGATTCCAGGTACCTACGGATGTTCTAATCGACCTGTACCATGTAAGTGCTGGACCCTCAAATAAATCTAAGGCCGATGTAAGAATTTGATCACACGTGACACCACGAGCAACTGATAGTTCCGCTACTCTTTCCAAGAATGCTGCAACTGACGTACCAGGTCTACCCGAAAATTTTAAATCCCATTTATAAACAGGCACGCTCTTCTGCATCACTCTAAGGGGAGTAGGCTGCAAATTGGGCAAAGGGGATGAAGCAGCAGGAGGACAACCAGGAGCACCCGAAATATCCAAGGCCTGCCTCAGACTCGTCTCGATAACCTCCAGATCGGCAGGTCTCGTAGTAGCACCTAACCTAGCTTGAAATCTTTCCTTCAAAGCCATCGCCTCCGTACAGAATCTAGCCCTATCATCAGACAACTCATCCATACGCTGTATACGACTCAAAACATGCCACAATTTACTCTCCGTCTTTTTAGCATCTTTAGCTGTAAATTTATCCACCAAAGCTGTAACCTCGACCAATTTTGCGGTGATAGCCACCGAATCTTCCTCACTTGTATATGGATAATCAGGATACGATGAAACTCCTTCCAACTTCTCCCTCTGTAAAACCTCCGTCAATTTTTTCCGCATCTCCTCAACCGAACCTACAGGATAACCCCTTGCAATCAACTCATACTGGAGTTCCTCCTTAATCAAATAATTTACAGTCACACGAAGAGCCATAACGATAGATAAGGAATAATATTAAGTTGGAAGTTTTCCGCTTCGATAATAGGTGGCGCGACAAGCTCTAACCCCAAACACGCAATAACACCGGTTCTAGTCAGATGGTGGTAAGACACAAAATAAGACACAAGATGGTTCAAAAAAAAAAAAATGACCCCCCTATTAAAATAACAGGCCCCACGTTGGGCGCCAAAATTTTGTGACGACTTTTCAACTAAACGACAACAACACAATCGAACCCCTTTAAAAAAATACAGATCTGCAACACCTCGGCTTCCCAGTGAAGATGGGGTGGGTTTGAATTTATAAGGCGCCACGCAGTTTCAGTTACAGATCGCTCTAACTGCGAAGAGGGCTGGAAAGGAAAAGGTTCGACAACACCAACATATAACAAAACACAAAGAAATCGCGGAATCATATACCATATAAAAACAAATTTATTAAAGGGAAAAAAAAATATGGTAAAACAAAATATAAAGTATATAAGTAGTAAATAAAATAACGAAAATTGTTCAAAAAAAAATAGTATCCCGAATAATTAGGGGCAGTAAAAAGCAAAATGAAACAAAAAAAAAGGTAATCAAAAAAATAAAAAAATTGAACCAAGTATTGACCGCGACACGTTCCCGAATGACACGAGCGCTCGATCAGGTGAACGGAAAAGGAAAACAAAATCGAAATCAAAACCGAAATTAATAACACCCCTAATAAATCCGATAACTTTACAAGAAAATTAATTAATGAAATTAAAAAAAAATAATGACAAAAGGAAAAAAAAAAATAAATAATAAAGAACTGGTTTAAAGTGAAATGAACCAGTGAAGTTAACAAAAAAATTAAATGGTAAGTACAAAACAAAATCTTACTTTATAAAAAAATACAAAATTATCTAACCACACTGATATTTTTTTCTTCTGTATAAAAAAAGGAAAATTCTGACCTTTATTCCAGACTCTTTTGAACGACGGTTGATGACTTCACGATGACAACAATTATACGTAGATACAGCAACGAAATCCAGCAAACCTCCTTTGGAAACACTTGTTCGATGGTAAGTACAGGAAACTTGGGTTATGTGGATTCTAATTTACTTCTTTATTCCAGGTTGTACTTGTTTCCGGGATGGGAGATTTCCCAAGATCTTATATAACGAATAAGGCTCTATGTAAAGAGGTGTCTTTACAAAGAACAAAAAAAAAAAACCTAACGTGTAAAAAAAGGAAAAAAATGTAAATATGTAAATAGATAATTAGGCAAGAATGTAGGGGTGGATGATTTTATGTAGCGTGAAAGGAGTTTAAATGAATTTAGGTTTAAGTTAGTATTAAGCCAAAATTAAAGAAAATGTAAAAAGAAAAACCTACCTCNATGATTATCCGTAACAGAAGTATCTACTTGTCTGGGATATTCCTGTACATAATGCTGCTCGATAATCGGTACTTCAGGGGGAATTACAATGTGAGGCCTTTTCGACAGAGCTCCACACTGTGCCTCAAAAATGCCGTCATTGATGATTTTTGTAAGATAGATTGCCTGTTCCTTTGGCAAACTTCTTAGCTGTTCGGCGACGTGCTTTCCAAAGTTGTCAAAATATTGAGATTTCGCCGGTGATTCACTTAACTTCTTCGCTACTATGTCCAGCACTTCATCCGCTTTTTCCACTCTTCTTGCTACTCTCTCTCTTGGGGTTCTCGATGCAGTTGAAGTCATGACAGATGGTGTAAACCTAAAACCACATCGTCTGTACTGTGTGCTTCGTCCTCCCTGTCAGTTTGTAAATTTTGTTCCTAAAAACGACCGTTTAAAAATCCACTATTGTTTTAATAACATACAGGTCATATTAACTATTATGAAAAATCAATAATTCAATTTACTTTATTCTGATTGTTGGCGTTATTGTTGTCATCATTATGTCGAGAATTAGTGCCATCATCGGAAACATTACAAACAGAACTCCTTGGCATTTCCTGATCTTTAATGAATTCCATAAGGTTATAATACCATAACGAAGGTTTGTAAAGATCGTCAGCTCCACTACCTGATCGTCTTGCCTCTTTCATTTTCTTAAATTCTCTGCGAAAACCACCACGAAGACTATTAATTTTTTGTACTACTGTATTTTTTGTTGCATTTGGTTGTATGGTTTGTAATCTTTCCAGCAAACTTTTATAAGCCTCATTTTTTAAACTTTTATTAACATAATCTTTTGTTTTCCATAGACAAGGGTGTAATCTGTATAATTCTATGAATTCTACTATAAATTCACGCGACAAATTTCGTAGGTCACTCATTTTAAACGGTTACGTTTACGGCTACAGGATTAAACGTGTTCTGTGAAAACCTGTACGTCACTGGAAAACTATACGACGGAGATGTTTGCCAGCGCAACACACCATCGAACATCTACGCACAACCATCAACGCACGCACATGAATTAAAGAGATCCCTGGAAACATGTACGTGCGCTCTTCTTGAATGCACAAACATGTGCCTATGTGTTTTTAACCCATACATTGACGTTCTTGAATGCGCGTTGACGATTGTGCGTTTTTGTACGCGAACATGTACGTCGGTGTGTGGGGCCCTTTTGACATTATTTTAAATTGATAATGTTATTTTCCAAAGTTTTTCTTATGAAATTATATTTTATATCTATGTCCTCGTATGATAAACGTTGTTTTTTGCCAACTTTTGACAACTTTGATTATCATTGTAAAGGACGATTGGTTTTTTTGAATTGAATTTTAATTCCGATAACAATTTTTTCTCATACAGTGCCTCTTTAGCCGCTTCAGTAAGGCTCATGTATTCGACTTCTGTGCTTGATAAAGCAACGGTCCTTTGTTTTTTAGTTTCCCACCAAATTACTGCGTTTGCCATTTTAAACAGATAACCAGTATACGAGCGCCTATCATCTATAAATGATCCCCAATCCGCATCTGTATAACATTCCATTTCTTTCCCCTGAAGTTCTATATGTTAGTTCCAAATTTCTTGTTCCTTTTAAATACCTTAACACCACTTTTTCCTCTATAAACGTTCTGTATTAAACGGTTAGAGACATTTCGGGATCAACTCCCATCTTCAGTCAACAAGTTTGTTACTACAAAATATGAGACTATTGCAAGATAAAGCAAGAGAAAAAAGTGGTCTCTTTTTTTAAACCTTTTATGTAACAACACTTTTACTTGAATTTATCGTAACACTCTTTTTGCGGCAATCCAATGACTTTCGTTGTAGTTTGTGTTAAATTGACATCGATTGTAATTTTACAGAAATGGCTCCGAAAATAAAGTCGTTGATACCTGATCCAATGTTCTATTTACTTGTCATTCTACACAATGTCGATTTTGATGGTAAATGCAATGTTGTAGTTAAAAAACGGTAAACCTTGGGTCCAAGGAAGAAGATTGTAAGGGCAAATTGTTTAAACTCCTCGCTGTACCGGAACCCTTGTTTAGTGCAGTTTGTCAATTTTAACTTTAGTTTAAATAAATTTGCTGTCGATTCTTCAGTGTTGTCAGATGTTTGTGAATTTGCTAGTTGGAGTTTAATGACTTTACTTGGTTTTGCAGACGTACTTTTCTAGGTGATTTTACTGACAAAATCAAAGGCGTCTGTACCGAGATGGATCCTAAATTAAAACTTTTAATTAATTTAATTCTAACAATAAAGAAAATCTTATTATTTATTATAAAAAAAAATAAATGAAACTTATCAAATCAAGTAGTTTTTATTATTGTTCTTGATTAAAATATATTACGCCTAAAGTTGAATTCCACCTGGTTACCACGTCTTGTTTTAATTTAAGTTCATGTAAACCCATTTGTTTTCGAATTTGTTTTAATTTGGCGAGAGCAGTTGAACTCTGTTTAAAAAATTGTACTATTGCTTTGATTTTATTTAAAAGGACTACTATTTTTTTTAATCCAGTTTATACTAACAGGTTAACAGAACCTTGACTTCCAACCTCCTATTCTAACAGCTGCAAGAATATTAGCTGCGTTGTCACTAACAATACAAGAAATTTTCATTACTAATTGAGGTCCAACTGTCAGTAGTGACGCTAATAAAGTCAACACTGTCAAGATTTATTTGAATTTTTGCCCTAATTTTTTCATAATTTTGCAACACTAGGCCTTCACTTAATGTTTTTCTTGAAGGTATTTTATAATTTGGTAATGCTATATGCATTAGTTTTATAAATTCTGGGTCTTCCACTATAGAAAAAGGCTAGTATCGTTTTACTATCATTCGTAACAATTGATTGTCTGATTCCTTTTTTTTTTTAGATACTGGTTTTGTTGTTTTTAAAAATTGTGCTATACCCGTTTGCAATGGAAATAGTTTTGGTTTTTTCAGCTGATGACCACTGTTACTTGTGCACGGTTCTACTATTTTTATTTTTATTAATACCTTTGTATCTCTCTTCTTAATATTTTTTTAACAAAATACCGAAAACTTACCCTCTTCTTCTATTATTTCCCTATCTTGAGAAGGTGTTTCAGCATGTACAGCGGATGTAGAAGGTTCTGCTGATCTGTTTATTGAGATTGTCATGTGCACCCTCTTCATATATCATTAGTGGACAAAAAAAAAGAAAATAGAGCGTATAGCCTGTACTACTGTGATATGAAGCGCAATAAGCGAGAACAACAAAGAGCAACCACTCATCCCAATACATTGAGGTCTTATATATAATCTAGAGTGCGTATGCTGTTGTCCCCACCAAGGTACATGAATATATTCATCTACCTTGGTCCCCACCACGCCTAAAATGAAGCCAGAAAGGTCGCCATGTTAGATGCAAGGTAAATGAATATATTCATGTACCTCGGTTAGATGTACCAACTTAGCGGGAAATTCAAAATTCTTATATATACTTATGCAAGAATTTACATTATTATAAACTGGAAAGACAGAAAATAATAACCAAAACAAATCATTTTTTATTGATAAATAATTATTAATTATATGATATTTTAAAAGAACTTAATAATTTTTAGCCATAACCCTTATAATTAACAAAAACTAAGAAGAAAATATTTAAAGCAATTCCGATTGATCACGTTAACCTTTGCTTATAAATAATTGTTAGTTTATTTAAAAAAAACTGAACAGTCCTTAATAATAAACTTTACTTGAACTTCAATTGAAGACCTTGCTGCAAGAAGGGAGTAGCTCCATTTATCAAGAGAAGGAGTTGTCCCCTTCTTATACCGAGGTCTTTAATTGTTAATTCCAAGTCAAGTAACCAGAAACATTTTATGGACTGTTGTAAATAATCGTCCAACCTATCAAATTATAAAAAACATATGTGAAACGAAAAGAATTCGAAAACTTTCAACAAAAATCAAATTTTAATAAAAATAACAATATGTTTATGAGAATTGTGAGGTTATAATTGTAGGTACAATAGAGACTTGAAACTATAGCTAAGTTCAGGTCGGTACATCTAACATGTCTGACTTTCTGATTACCCCCACCACCACCACATACGCACTCTAGATTATATATAAGACTTCAATGTCCCAATCCCTTTGATTTCTGGCAATATAATGCGATAATATGTCTTTGATTATACGGTGGTTTCGTTCGATCAATCCAGTACAGTCCGGATGTTAAGGAGTAGTTTGAATTTTTTCAATTTTTAACAACCTACATGTTTCCTTCATTCAACTTGAAATAAAATTACTAACTTGATCCGTTAATAAAAAGATTGATCCGGTTATTATAAACATTTCGAAAAAGATTTATTAGAAAGATCTCTTCAGAATAATGTATCCTACAACCATATAATGCTCTGATGCGGAAGATACCGGACAGCCTGTATAAGGACCGGAATACTTTGGAGCTAGTTTAGCGGAAAACCCTTTTTGCTGAGACGATAGGTGATGTTCTCTCTTTAATACGGTTTCATGCAGTTTCGGTCGCCATTCCCTTTGTCTTAAATTATAGTGGTAACTCTGTTCTCCATCCTCTTGCTATACTCTTGCTAGTCTAATTTTCACAAATACAGTGACTTCCTTTAACTTTTTGAGTCGGTTAATTTGTTGTGTTTGGTCGGTGTTTATTTCCTTCCCAGTTTGATTGTCGGAATCTGTGTGACGCCAAAATTTACCACGAATACAATAATAAAAAAAAATGAAAGTAACAAAATTATGACTACACCTTGAGATTCGTACGCGGGTCCTCGACTGGCCCAGTGAAGATGGGAGAGTTGTTTGTGGCACCACACAGTTAACCCTGCGTGGTTCACGAACTGTGACGTGAGTTGTTTTAGATTGGTGATGTAAACATAAGTATCACGCTTCTCCTTCGAAACGACTTTTAACAATATTTATTAAAAATGGATTAATAGAATTATGAGGGTTTACTCTATCATAATAAGTATTTAAGAAACTTTCACATAATTCGATAAAAATTGGAAGAAGAATAGGGTCAGCTTTAAATTTTTGAATTATATTTACTTCGGTCTGAGTTATGGAGGCTCTGGCATAAGGATGAGCGGGCTGATTTGGATTTTGATTTGCCATTTTTAGTTTTAAATTTTCAAATTGGTCAATTAAAGAATCAATTTTGTCTAAGTGCCAATAATTAATGAATCGGAGTTTACAAAGCTTGTATGGTTTAATATAATTTTTGCCAAAGGTTTAACGTTAATCTTAAAATTACTCATTGTATGAGGTTCATTTGTTCTTCTGTTTTTCGTGTTTTTCTTGTTGTCCTGGAAATGTGATCCGTGGACTCGGGAATCGGCTGGAAGTCGGCTGCTTCCGCTTGGGTCGTCGGGTATGCTGCAGAACGACAGGCACCCTTTGTGGTTGAGACGTGGCAATTTTAGCTCTTGTCCCTTGAATTGAATTTTGGTTCTACCGTCTTGTCGCACTTTTGTTTTGGTCGGTGTTGTTGTGACCGAGTAGGATGGTGTCAGGCGTTAAGAATTAAAATTCACCAATGTCCAAAAATTTCACTTCCGAAACATCGTCTGTTGACACTTAAATATCCTACTGACTGCACCAGTTATACTTGCCAGCGAACGGTAGGCTTTTTAAAAAAAGGAAAAGTAACCTTTCTTTTGTATAATCAATTTATTTGATTAAAAGTAACGACCGTACAGTTAGAAGACAAAAATACAATTAATATTAAATTTAATAATTAGTCCTATTTATACTTTTTTATTTATCATTAATTCTCGGTGTACAATTTCATACCGAATCTCACGGTTCTTCATCTTATCATATTAGTTTCTTAAATACTATCGGCATGCAGCTGCATAACTCGCGTCAAGACTCCGTAGAGTTGAGCTCAACCCAAAGCCTCTTATTAAGGAAAATAAAATATAATGCAAAAAAAATAAAAATACTCGCCTACAGGAACTTACAAAACAATAAAAAAAAAATTAACCTTTTTCTTTTTTTTTTTTCTAACTTATACTTTGTCCGATGGATTTACGAAGTTGATAACCG